AAACTTTCCATATTTGGCTTTGACAAATTTGGAAATTTTCAACTCAAATAATTTTGAATTTTCAAAATTCGAACAAGTGGGGAGTGGGGAAGAGGGTCGACGGTGGAGGAGGTGGGGTGGTTGGCGGCCAAGAGGGGTTAGGGTTGGCGGGTTGGGAAAAAGCGAGGATCGGATGATGGGGATAGACCACGAGTCACGGACTCTTCTAATGACTGGTGGGTATTGCTTTTCGACCACACCTTGGGCTCTCGTTCTCCTCTCTAACTCTCCACAAGAAGAAGAAGAAGAAGAAGAAAAAGATAACCAAAACAAATTTCATTCAAAATATTCATTAACCATCATACAACACATGAGACCACTATATATAGGCCTCAACTCATAAAAAAAAAGTACAAAATTGCCCTCTGGGCTACATTAACAAAGCAACTCCCCACAGGGGTAAAAATGGAAAAACTGCAAATACTAAATAATACATCATGACATCGAAATCAAAAGTAGAGGCGCTGAATCGTGGCTGTCGATCTGTGGTTTCGCCGGCGATAAACATGTCGGTAGCGTCTGTCGATGTCCTCATCATTAAGTGTTATATGACTTGTATTTTGTTTATTATTGATTATTATATACCTTGTTACCTGAATTTGTAGGTGTGATTATGTGTTACCTTGATTAAACATTTATTTACTCCAGCATGCTTACTTGGTAGGGTTTAAATTGGGATAATTCAGAAAAAAGTTTGACTGTGCTAATGCACACCCAATTATTGTTGATCGTCAAACTTTCTCCAATGAACACCTTACACTCTTAGCAAACTGATTTTCCTTCTAAAGTAGGAAAAGGTACACTTATGAGTTATGAGTTAGCAGATCCATCTTTAAAACAAATTAAGTCTACTTTTTTTTTTCCCAATGTGTTTGCTACATCAAGATTACATACAACTGCACAATCAAGTTTCCCTCATCTCATATTCTCTATACATTATGAATCCTCTCATAACCTATTCTGCTAAAACCTATAAATCCAAATCACCATCATAATTATCTTCTATTCTAAGATATATGTTGTAAAAGTTAATTTATCTTCTAATCAATTTCAAGAAATATAAGCAACACATAAATTTATAATGTATTCATAAAAAATTTAATGAGCAATTATCACTCTATCAATAGCCCAATTCACCTAAAATTTTTTTAACTATAAACCCTCTATCCACTATTATCCCTACACCAGATCTACTATTAACTTTCCCACCACACAATCATTACAACTTCACCAATGTCATCAAAATTTTCCCATTTTATTTAAGTTTCATGCAAACAATCAATATTTTGTCCATAAACAATGAAATAAACATCATTAAATATAATTTATTATAAAAGAAAAAAAGCAAGAAGAGTGACCTAAGGTGGCCATGTTTTACACGAGTTACAGGCTAGAATTTCTCGTTTACAGCTACATCATAAATCAATAAAATAATATTTACTACAAAAGAAACAGATCGAATAATAATAAATTTATGCAAATGTGGGTTTTTTTGCTGAGTTCAAGAGCAAAGCAATCAGATTAATGACATGAAGTTGAGTAAAACAGAAGAAATACAAACATAAAAAAGGCAACCACTGACAAAAAAATAGAACAATATCACTTACAGATTGAACTTTCCAACCATCAGTGAAGGAGAAATCAGTGAGCGCAAAGCCCCTGCTATCAAAAATCATCAACTTGGCGAATTCTTCTTTCTGACTTTGCTCCAGAGTCAATGGCTGACCCTGTCCTGTAATCATCTGTATGGTTCCCTCTCTTCCACACAGTTTACACTAAAAAGTGATTAGAGTTAATTACAAATGTAAAATACTAAATAGAAAAATTCTCAATTGAGTTCTAACAATTGCTAGGGTGGTCGTTCTCTCTTAGTCTGGCATTGGGCACAAAATCAGCAGATTATGGCGATGCATTTAGGAAAATATCATGATCCTACATTTACGATGAGGCATGTACCATAGATGGACCAGATTGTAAATGAACATAAAGCATGGACTTCATAATTTCTATGTAATAGAAAGTAATCAGAGCGTCATAAACACCAGAATTTGGTGGGTTTTTTTTTTGTAAAATGTCAATTTAATAAAATAGATTAAAAGTGCCAGAATTGAAATTCTGTTCTTTACATGATAAAATTAATATAGCTATATTAAAAATCATCAAAATCAAAATTAGCCAGTTTTACCATTGAAAAGGCCTGTTTCACCATAAAGAAATAAATAGAAGCCCAATAAAGAAACAAATAGAAGCTAATCAGGCTTTCTCGGGCAAGGAAAAGGCAAGTTTCACCATTGAATCATAATTTGGAGCACAACATTATATGCATAAAGCTCACCAGCATGGAGAGGATGCACTTTAACTACAAAAATGATTAACTGCATTTTAAAACTTTAGAAGCCCAATAATGCATTTTAATCCATGGATTTAATAAATCCTCAGAAGGTACTCTTCATCTGTTTCTAAATCAAACAAAAAAGCCCTTTTCTGCCAAGTCAATCTTTAAGTTCAGCTAAGGGGCAAAATACACAAATGACAAAATGGTCCGTTGTGCCAAAGTCTCTCGGGTGCTGCCTAATAGAAAACACTATCAGTTTATAGGAAGTTGGCAACGATATGGCGCTACATTAATCGTCAATAGAAAATAGCTAAGGTGGTGGTTGCCAACAAGTGAGTGACAATCGACAACAATCAACATGATGACAATAACAGGTTGAGCTGTTGATGACAGCTCATTCATGAAACTGTTCGTTAAGGTCTTCTAGGCCTAACTATGCAGTCATCCACAACCAAAAAAGTATACCTACCACTGAATATGCATACAATATTTACGCATGGCTCTTTCTCATATATGAAAATTTACATCCATCACAAATAGATGCCTTCTGCAGTTGCCAGTATCAAAAAATTGATTATTTAAATCGATAAAAAAATAAGTTTATAATAATCCTTCGTGCTTAAATATTGCGCAGCATAGGGAATCTAGGAAAAGATGAAAAATACCAAAGATAAAAAAAATATGTGATTTTTAAAATGTTGAATCAGAGTGCATAAAGTTGCAAAAATAAACGGAATTAAATTTTAGTAACAAAGAGGCTTAACAAAATAGGCAACAAGAGTGGTGACTAAAACCTTGAATATAGAAGTTATTTTTTATGGATTTAAAAGTTAACTTGGAGGAAATACTTGATATTTATTTCATATTAACCACATGGGTTATGGAGTTATGTTGAATGAGGAGAGAGATGGAAGAAGATGAATTTCAATTTATTTTATTTTTCATGAAAAATAGCAGCCAAAGACTATGTTTATATAAAAATATTCGAACCAGAACATTACGAAAGAAGGTTGATGTAATTGATACAAAAATATAAGGAAAAATAAAATAGGAAGTACATTGTTGTGAAAATGCCACTATTGTGCACTTCACTCTAGATTGGGGGTGTAAAAGAGTCGAGTTGAGCTCAAATCACACATGCCCTGAGCTTAAGCTTAATTAATTAATGGACCTCAAGCTCGAGCTTTATTCTATGAGTTCGAGCAAGCTCGTTTATCATGAAAGATAGAAAATGATTATGATTTAAGCAATTATTATAATTGAATGAAAAAAGAATAAGAATTTATTAAAAAAATAGATAATCATTTAGTATAAGAAAGTGAGATACAATTTTTAAACATTTTTAACAACTTTATACTTAAAATCATGAATTGTAATATATTTTAAGTATATTTTATATTAATATTTTTTAAACGAGTCGGTTCGGAAGAAACTTGTTAGCTGCCAAAAGAGGACTCAAGAAACTTGTTCATATGAACAGGTTGCATTTGTTTGTTATTATTGAACCTATGTTCAAAAGAAAAATATACAGTTTTATACTTCTTTGGCAGATTTTAATGATTTCATGGGACGTTAGCTAATACTTTAAAAAAGATATTGGAGTTCTAGGAAGAAGAAATTTAAATGTTCATTGCTTATTAATACATGTAAACTTCTGAATGTGGAGATTCGTAAACAGGAACTTTCAGCTATCTATACTTTTGTTTAGTCTAGCTGCTCATGGATCTTAAGAAAATTCCTGTGGAGGAATTTGAGAGGAATTGCTGTAGGTGTTGACAACATTGGTTGGTGGTTGGGAAATGGGAACTTTAACATCATCATGAATGATCTAGAGAGGAAGGGTGGTTTGATGCAGCAGAGGAATTCTCCAATACCCTCCTTGAATGTGGTTTATTAGATGCTGGATTTGAGGACAATCAATTCACTTGGTCCAATGGAAGATTATGGAATGGGCTTGATGGGATATTCTATCATCTGAATTAATTGACAATTTTAAATCAACAACAAAAAAAATCATTGCAATTGAGCAACTTTAAATCAAGCATTTACTCTGGTTAAATATCAAAATTAAGTTCCACTGGACCTATTCCTTTTAGATTTAAGAATATGTTGTTTAAGCACATTCATTTATATTTATGTTCAGCACAATTGGAATACTCCTGTTGCTGGTTCTTGTATTTTGTTTAATGCAAAAACATAAAAGATTAAACATGGCATTCAGCTGGGGGAATAATCATATGTTTTGTGAGTTAATTACTAATGTTAAAGAATTTGAAGCGGTTCTCACTTATAAAGGGGAATGTCGGGTGGGCAGAGAGAAGGTTGGAGGGGACTGAGAGAAAATTAGAGGATGCTAGAATTACAGAGAACTGGAGATACAAGGACAGGTTAATAGAGTTCAAAGAAGAAGAACAGAGCATTCATCTTCCTCTCTTTGTAATGCCCGGGTCCTTTTTAAAATGAAATAGAACTGGTGATCTGAATCAGGAATTCAAAATTACTCTCTTCATTTTCTAGTACCCAGAATATCCTGTTCGTTGCATCAATCGGATCTCTCTTCCACTAACACGTGAGTGAATTTGAATCATTCTATACAAATGGCAACAAGATGAGGAGATGCTCCACTATTCTAGATGAGTCTTTCCATTAACTGAAATTTATACATCGTCGATAATCATGAAGAATTCATCCTAAAAGATACTTTGCCAAAAGGTATCTAATAAATTCTCACATAGAAGAAATACTTAGATATTCTCTGCCCGATTTTGAGATACTAGAATGCACAACACCAATCCCCAATATTCTCCTCAGATCGCCCATAAGCCTAAAAACAGAAGACTGAAAAAAAAAAGAAGCCTAGAATATGCTCCGTCAGCACCTCCATTTAATAACCTAAATCTTATCCAATTCACCAAGCAGAATCAAGAACATGCAAAGTAACAAAGAAATACAGCTTCAACAGAAAACAAGCTGAATCCAATAGATTAGGATTTCACAACCTTCTGCACCAGATGAGCAGTTCCCCGGCCAGTGGGCAGCGGAACCTCTTCAGAGATCATGACGCACGTTTCCTTCGCACTGACTTCCCCGCAGCTCTCGCACTTCACCTAATCGCATTGAAATCTAATCAAAGACGGGCCGGATGGCGACATAACAAAGAAAAGAATAAACCAATATAGCAACAAGGAAAGCGAAACCTTGAAGTAGTAAGGGTAGGTTGGATCGTCGCAGCCACCGCGAGGCTGGAGATCCGTGAGGTTCTCCAGCTCCGCCGAAAAGGAGAGCAGGTAATAGACCATCTGGAATCGGGGCTCGGCTCCGGCGAGGTGGAGAGTTAGACGGAAAAAGAAATTTACAAAAACTGCCCTCCTCTAACGTCTCAGTTAAGGTCCTCCGGCCGGACTGAACTGCTCCGTAAATTTGGTTAAATCACTTACAGACTGCATAAATGTATTTATATATATAATATTTAAAAAATATATTTTTATAATTCTTTAATTTTTCAATCACATTAAAATATACATATAAAAATATATGATTTTTATCTTAAAAAATTATGAATAATTATATTTTTAGAAAATTTAAAAATTTTGATGTTATAATTAACTATTAAAATTTAGATGTTAGATATGTAATTAATATAAAAATTGTGAGATTGCATATAAATTTATCAAAAAATAATAATAAATATTTAATTTTTTATGATATTTATTCAAATAACTATATTATATTAATATCTTAATTTCACAACAAATTTTTTATTATTTTTCAATTCAATAAAAAATGAAAAAAACATATATATTTTAAAATATAATACAAATTTTATTTATCAATTTCTATGACAATTTTGATCAAAATTGAGTCAAATATTCTTGAAATTTTATTCAACATTTTCTCTTTCAAAGGAAACAATATTAGAAAATGATAAATGATATATTTTATTGGATATCATAAGAATTAGAGCACCAATTTCTTATTCTCTCTTTAGCTCACTACATTTTGCACTATTATGAACTGAAGCACGACCAAAATATGTTAACATTCCTTATGATCCATATGAGGAAAAAATTAGTAAGACACTCTTTATTCTTCCCACATCTACCAGTATGAGGAAGCTGAGGACAGAAATCATGCAAAAATTTATGAGAAATAAACTTCAAAACCTTTAAATTTACATTAAGATTACTGATATATAAATATAAATATTCAAAAGTACAACGCCGCAAAATTTCCTTAAAAAAAAAAACCTGGCATGTATTTGGATAATATGCACTTTTAAATGGGTGTCAGAGTATACTTACTGACATAACATCATTTATATTTTCACTGAACTATCATATGGTACTTTTTTTTTTGGACATTTAGGCCAATAAAGGCAAACTCACACACACAACGCATACACATAGACTCGAACCTTGGACCTCTTAGTTGGAAGCCTAAGCTCTCAACCAATAGGCCAAGGAGAGTTGTGTAGAAAACTACCCTAAACAATGCCTAAATCTTTGCTGCCTCCAGCCAATGGGAACTCACAGTTTTCATCAGTAAATTACAGTGAAGACTGAAGACAGATTGAAAAGAGGGGAGAATCCATTGTGTCCAAAATTTCTGAAGTAATTTGGATAAGTTCAGCAAAAAAGGAATCACCCAAACGTACATCTTACCAAAATGCACTCAAATTTTTTGTCCATAATCCAATAAAGACTAGCAAATCTTTAACTTCTAAGAAGCAACTGGAACATATTGCATGATACTACAATATCCAATATATAATTATAAGCGTACAATGCAAGCTGTGAAAACTCCAGCAAGTTCAAAATAAGGACAGAAGTCATCAATTTTTTGGAGATCTGCGTATGCTAATAGCCCAGCTGCGTTGCTTGCAAGCTACTTTTGCTCTATTATTGCGCGATGTTAGGGAGATTGGAAGCTTTTGCCTTCCCAACAACCCACACTACTTTATACTATTTTTATTCAAATTTATAATTTAATATTCATTATTCCAAAAAATATATTAAATGCAAAAACACATTTTATATTAAAATTTTTTAAACTCAAAGTTTTGATAGTTATTTTAAAAAAATTTATCAACTAAGCTACTTGAACTACACAAATTTTTTAAGGTGCTATATGCAATAAATTCAATAAAAAACTTCAACTTCTAATATTTTTACTAATAGCTACCACCACCAATCTTTCGCATCAAGCAATCCAATCCACAAAACATAGCTTTGCTTCCTCTCCACTAGAAATTACTTGGGGCAGAGTATGTGCATGAGAACAATACAACAACGACAACAACATCAAGCCTTTATACCATTACGTGGGATCGGCTACATGAATCATTTTTCTCTATTGTGCTCTGTTAAGAATCAAATTCTCATTTAAATCTAATAAATAAAGGTTATTTCTAATATTTTCTAACCAAATCTTTTTTAAGTCTAAACCTACCATTCTTAACATATGTCAAATCTTATACATTTACTCTCCTAACATGATCATCGAAAGGCCGACGTTTTACATGACCAAACCATCTAAGACGGCTCTCTTTAATCTTATCTGTCATTGGAACTACTCCAACATTTTCCCGGACATGCTCGTTTCATATCCTATCTCTAAGAGTGAGTCCACTCATCCACCTGAGCATCCTCATTTTAACAACACTTTACTTAGTATTATGTTTCTCTTTTAATGGCCAACATTCTGCACCATAAAGCTTTGCAAGAGTATGCACATGAGAAAAACTATAATTAAAAAAAAAAAAAAAAGGCTAAAGATATTTTAACTAAATTTTTTAACATGATAACCATAAATTGTTGACCTTCTGATGAGTCGATTCGAATAGTAGATATATTAAATCCAACATATGTTAAGAATGTTAGAGGAAGACCTAAAAAGACTTCATAAGAAAGTATTGGAAATGATTTTTTTTTATTAAATTTAAATGAAAAGTTGACTCTTAATAGGACAATGGAGAAAAAATATTCATGTAACAGGCCAAAAATAGCAGAATAAAGGCTTGATATTATTGTTATTGTTGTATGAATCTCAAAGTCTCTACTAGATTTATTTTGATATAAATATAATATATATAAGGAATTTATATTACACATATCTCAAAACAAATTTAAAAACTCACATGCTTAGCATAACTTCTTCAAAGACAATAAACACTAGCCTACAATATCTTGATTATTTGTCTACATATATCTATATATTCATATTCTTAATAAGTTCTCCTCCTCCACGTACCCACACTCGAATTCATCACCCTTGCCCAAATAACTCCTTTCCCAGTTCAAGCCCCCCATCACCTCGCCCAAATCCCCACACTTTCTTCTAATATTATAACTAAAATTACCCAAGCCAGTTTCCTGCTATAAATCCATCCCTTGCTTCCAAGATCCATTTCAAATCAAATCTTCCTTTGTGATATTAAAAATTTTCTCTTTAGAGAAAAGCAAGATGTCTCAATTCCTTATCTACTTCATATTCTGTATTCTCTCTTACAATACAGTGTGGGTCAAAGGAAACTCACCGCCACCTTTGGTAGCCATAAAACCCCTGTCGCCACCGCCTCCGCCACTGGTGGTGGTGCCATCACCACCTCCGCCGTCAGTGGTGGTGCCAGTACCGCCCAAGTGGCCCTTTCACTTAAATTTCAGTACCGGAGTTGAGGGTGTTGTCTTCTGTGCGGCCTGTAGCAAGCTTTCGGGCTTTAACAAGTCCATCAATGCTGCTCCTCTTCGCGGTTTGTCTGCATTGCTTCTTCCTTCATCTTCAATATATCTATTAACAAGATAAATTCAACCAAATGATATGTGTATACATTACATGCATAAAATAGAGTTTCTACATATTTGCATTGCTATGCCTAAATTTTAAATTTACTTATACAATATTTTGATATTTAAACCATATTAAAATAAAAAAAGATATATTTTCATTTTAAATAAATTAATATTTTTAATATAATTTGATACATTTTATAACATATATAAATCTAACTTATATATATATATATATTCATGTCACATTAATTTTGGGGGATTTACATATATACTGCATAGTTTTTCGTGAATCTCACTTTCTAAATGACATCAGAATATATATGCAAGAAAAAATGAGTTTTATTTTAGATAATTTAATATTGATAATTTTTTTATTTTATGTGGAGATAATAGTATTATATAAGTAAATAATGAAATTTAGAAGGGTTTACAAACATAACACACAGTTCTCATCTATTTACATATAAAGAATTAAGCTTAGATATTTATTTATATAACAACCAAATTTTAAATCACATAAAAAAATCACTAATAGCTTTTCATGAATATGCTTTGAAATGATTGAAAGGCTAAAATATTATACATAAGCAAATATCGAACTGTATGTGTGAGATGTGTAAAAGACTCTTATGTGTTATTTATATAAATCCCCCCAGAAAAGGTAAATATTATATATGTAAATACATAATGCAATCCCCCATTAAGTTTTGAAGCTTATGAGTTCAAAATATCATGACCGAATTATTTCCAAAACAATAAGAAAATATACCTTTCACAGGGGCTGAGGTAGAGCTACTATGCTTTGAGAGGCAACTGGAACAAATAGCGACAGAAGATCCCATATTGACGAGAGAAAAACCAGCAGAGTTGAAGGCGGAAGTGAAGACAGACGAGAGAGGCTATTTCTTCATTCGAGTTGCCAAAATTAAGCCCAGTTTAATAAAGACGTGCAGAATTTACGTCTTACCGCCTATTTGGTGCAGCAAAATAGTCTTCCCCAAAACTAATAAGCGAGATGGGATAATTCCTAAGTTTGAGAGAGTCATTCATTTCGGAGCAGAGGAAATCCATCTTTACACGGCCGGTTTCTTCGAGTTCAAACCCAATAAGATAAATCTGTGCCCGCATTGACTTACCTGAAAAAAGAAAGGGGATTTATATATATGCTAATGAATTTTTATGTATTTATATATATAGTATTTAAATTTTTATGTTTATTTATATAACATCTTATTGTCTTAATGACATCAAAATATATACATAAAAGTGTGTATTTTAATCTAAATAAATCATAGTGCTACTTTTGAAGTGATTTTGAAATTATGGAGTTATATAAACAAATACAAAGATTTAAGTATTAGATATATAAACATATAAGAATTTAATAATATGTCTGTAAATCTTCCCAAAATAAAATAAAGAAAAGTGACAATTTTTTAATGAGCTTGGTTAGGTTATTCAAAATGTTGGAAGCTATTGCCAAGATAAGGTGGGCAAAAAATAAAAAGGAGATTCACATACATATCATATAATTTTTATGTATTTATACATCTAAAACTTAAATTTTAACATCAATTTTTATAACACAAAAATTTTTAAATCACATAAAAAATACTATTGATATTAACATTTCAAAAATAAAATACATATTTTCATGTGTATGTTTTGATTTGATTGAAACATTAACGTGTTATATAAGTAAATATTAAAATTTAGAAGTTAGATATGTAAATTCATAAAAGTGTCTAGTATGTATGTAAATCCCTCCAAAATAAAAATAAAATTAATATTTGGTTCGTATTTTTGTTTTTGAGTTTTTAAAGTTTTAGCCGTGTCGTGATGTAACGGGGTAGGTTGTAAGCATGTGTTGTTTGCTTGCTAAAGAATCAGTCATCTTTTGTAATGGGTCATAAATAATGTTTATTAGAACTTTGATGTGCTTATTTCAAATAAGTTTATTTTAATTATTAAGTTTTATTTTATTAAAAAAAAAAACATTCTAACATTTCAATTACAACAATTTGAAGGGCAATCTCTTTCTCTCTATAAATCACAATCATCATCAATCTCTAGCAATTTTGTTGACCTGCATCTCTTTCTCTCTCTCACACACATTTATTCTCCTTTGCTCCTCTCCTCCTCACTTCCTTCTAAATATATGTATTTTTTGGCTCATCCGATGCACCTCCACTTCATCAATCATTGTTTGTATTTCAACATTTATATGTGATTATAGGTTTTCAGTCATTGCAACAACCTGCTATCTTTGTAATTTTTTCTAATTTGTCTCTTGCATAATTTTGATATGAGATATAAGAGAAGTGGACATCTAAATTATGCATTGGGAGCCTAATTCATAAATCAACTCTCTCTTTTAATCCCGCAAGAACTAGACATAAATTATACTATGGGAGCCTAATTCACAAATCAACTCTTTCTCTTTTACTCCATCTATTTAGTTCTATACTCCAATATCTAACTATTGAGATGATCCATCTAAAAACCCTACTCCTACGAAACTCTTCATATATTTCTAAGGCGCATTTACTCATCATATAAAAGGTTAACATCATGAGATAAGCATAATATTAAACAATTAATAGTTGAATTATGAATTATTCATACTTATATAAACTCGTTGCATAAACTATATATTCAAACCTTTCCAAAGGTCTTTCACCACTTACACTACAATAATCTATCTAAACTTTAAGCTTCCCAAAAAACAAACCAAAATTTGTACAAATCCTAAAGTAGGTTGCTTCGATTTGATATCCTGTTTGAATGAAATACTAATTCGCTCCTTATTTTCAGTAGTGCTTCTATACAGTCCTCTTTCTTCCAGCATTGGAATGAAAAGGATGGTAAAATTAAACTCTGCTCAATGGGAAGAATATACTAATATAAATCTGAAGAAACAATGAAACTTTTGAAACAGTTAAGTGTCATGCATTATGATCCATCGTTCCTGGGCAAAAGGAATAGTTCATATCTTCTGCTACATTAAAAGGTGTTGATGCATCAAAGATGAATGTACTCGGTACTCCAGTTACTCAACTGCACCAAAAGTCACCCTGAGAAAAGCTACAAGTGACAAAACCTCCAACAACTCAACCAATGCTCAACTAACTTTTTAGGACCGGTTGCTTTCGAAACTGATTACAATAAAAACAACAACATCGAGCCTTTGTCCAATTTCTCCTCCAAGTCTAGTACCATTTAAGCTATTTTCTTCCTCGTCTCACACGATAACTTTTTGAATTTTTTTATACGGTAGACTAAATAATGTGAGGCCTTCAATGTCCTGTATGCATTATCATTATTCATTTTATACAAAGAATGTGACAACTTTGAATTGATTCTTCATGTGTCTTTGGGTGCTATTGTCGCATTAGATCAAGATGACATGCGGAATATATTAAGAATTAAGATCAATAGTGCTCTTTTTGCTATTGTCTTATAAACCTCAAAGCTCACTGTTTTCTTTGATATGGTTCAGTTATGTTTGAAAAATAAATTGTTCCATTTGATTTCTTAATTTTAGAAATAAATTAACTAGTTTAGTTTAATCTTTTAAACCAAACAAATCATATAAAACAAATGCACGCCTAGACTCTCATCTTCTTTTCTTAAGCACTCACTTCATCTCTCTCTAATGTTTCTTCACTTCCACACCCATGGCACCCTTACCGCGAAGATCGACCAACCAACAAATTCTAGTAGTACATTTAATTCGTAGAGTAAAAAATCAAACTCCACAACTTAACATGTCAGATCATCCCCTGCCATTTCTAAGTGCACACTCAAGCCTAAGAATGACTATACTAAAGTAGCTTTCAAAGTTAAGTACTTCCAAATTTCAGTTAAATAATTAAATTTGAGCCCTCATACTCAATAACAAGAAAATGTCAGCTCATCATTTATCTTGTCACGAAGGAAAGATTATTTGATAAGTTTAAAATCATGCGTTGTTTTTGTATCATAGTCAGTATTGACTCCAACTTCAGTAATTGATGGATTCATATCAACTCAATGCAAAATATGCACGAATGAACCTAAAAAACAAATAAGCTCACCTTAAGTTCATCCGAGCAAATAAGTTGATAGTGCAATGAAATTGTAGCATCTTAACACTAATGAATTAATCCTGATACTCCTCCCCAAGTCCGGTAAGAAGCTTCTTGTAGCACTGCCCATTAATGACCTCCTTTTGTCTCATCTCCCTCAGCAGCACAACTGCGTTAGATGCCCTTTGTTGCCGGCAAATCTCCTCCACCACCGTCCTGCATGTTATGAAATCCGGGCACCGCCTCATTCCAACCCCCTCCCACATAGCAGCCACCGCCTCCTCCACCTCACCCGCCATTGCAAGCACGCTAACAAGGGAATTACACGCCCTCCCTGTCGGAACCAACCCTTTCCCCCTCATCTCCACATAAAGCTCCCTAGCGTTCAGTGTTCTCCCCTGCGAGCAGAGCCCGTGCACCAAATAGCTATAGCTGTGTTCATCTGGCTCCACGCCATAGATTGGAACCATCTGGTGAAATATACGAAGGGCGTCGTTGACGTGGAGGGACAATACATAGCCTTTAATCATGGCGTTGAGGGCATATATGTCAGGAGCAACACCTGAGTCTACCATTTGACGAAAGAGAGAGCGGAGGGCGTCCATGTATAGATGGTGGATGTAGGAGTTTGCGCCGCGATGGCCCAAAATAGCGGCAAAGAGGAGATTGAAAGTACGCGCAGTAGGCCGCGCAGTTGGCCGCGCAGCGGTTTTCGAAGATCTCATGATTTTGTAAATTCCGATGGCTTTTGAGATCCAGCGGGCCTCGGAATAGAAATGAATTAGCGTGTTGAAGAAGTTCTCAGGGAGGGAAAGGGAGGAGAAGGAGAATGCTAGAGAAACAACGGAGTCCATTTCGCGGTATAGACGGGCAGTGCCAAGGCGCTTGACAGCGGTGAGGAAGGGATAGGAGGCGGCAGAGTCCCCGTGTCGGAGAAGGTTGGTCCGGTGAAGGGTGGAATGGAGGAGGGGAATGCATAGGCGAGGGTCGGGGAGGCTGGCGATCGCGCCGGAGAGATCCGATGAGGTGAAGCGCGGCGGGAGTGATGCGATGGCTGTTGAGATTTGCGATTGGTCCGGAGGAGGCAGGTCTCCGGTGCCCTTCTTCTTTCGGCGGCGGCCGCGGGTGGAGACTCCGGTTGTGGAATAAGAGACATAATGGTTTGTTAGATTTGAAGAGTGGGGAGAGTTGAGATTAGGGCGCCATGAGTTAAATAGGGAGGACGAGAGATGAGAGGAGGGGAAGAATGGCGACCTTATGCTTCTCAAAGCACGAATCATTTCTCAGTTTTTCTCTGTTTGAGGAGGATCGATTTCTACTTCACACTTTAGACTGCAGCTGTGAAGGGAAAATTATTATTATTATTATTATTATATAGATGAATTTCTTTTCTCCTTAGAAAATAAGGGCAATTTTCTCTAAATATTAATTTTATATTATTATGTCATGGAATATTCACGTCATAAAGTAAAGTTTTAATTTTGTACGAAGATCCAACACACATATAGAAAAAGAGTTAGGTGTAGCATTCATAAGAGATATCAACGTTTTTTATGTGGAAACCCTTGAAAATGAGATGTCCAATTAAAAAGAATACACTAATGTTTGCAGTCAATTATAAATGAGGCTCTTCCGTGGGGGGAAGCCCTTAGCTTGATGAAGTAATATTTTTATATAGAGTGCATTGCATGGTGGGAGTTGGAAGAATCAGTGTTGACATATTTGTTTAATCTGCATGATCATAATCGGCGAGCGATATAGGTTGGAAGGACAGTAGTTGGGAGACGGCAGTCAAGGGAGATCGTAGTGTGGAGATGGTAGTCGGAGAGATCGTAGTTAACGATGAATGTTGGAAAGACTGTTGTCTAGTGATAGAGGTCAAAAGGACAATGATTGGCGGGTGACCATGATAAGAAAGATCGTTATTTGGCGACGGAGTTCAGAAGGATAATAGTCGACAATGGAGGTTGGAAAGATCTTAGTTAGACGAAGGTGGTTGGAAGGACAGTAATTGGACGCTATAGGTCGTAAATATTGTAGTGGAGTGACGGATGTCGGAAGGACCGTAGTCGGCGGGTGACGATGGTCAGAAAGACCGTAGTCTGGTGACGGTGGTCAAAAGGACAATAGTCGAGCGATGAAAGTCGAAAAGATAGTAGTCGGGTAACGGTGGTCGGAATGACCACAATTAGCAAGCAACAGAGATCAAAAATACTATAGTTGAGTGACAGAGACTAGAAGGATTGTAATTGACAGACAATAGAGGTTGGAAAGACCACAATCGGCGGACAATGATGGTGTCCAGACAAAAGTTCGGTGATGGCCTATGGTCAGACTAAAATTTGATGACGGTCAGTGGTCGAGTAGAAGTTTCGTTAAAATCGGTGGCCGTATGTAAGTCCGACGAAAATTGGTGGACAGACGGAAGTCGGCAGAAGTTTGACAACAGTCAGTGGTTGGGCGGTGGTCGAGCAGGAGCTTGGTGGCAAGAGATATCTCAAATTTCTCTTCATTTATTCTCTTCCTTTGTCTCCCCTACCTCCCTTCCTGTTTGGTCCCCCTTCATGTGAAGAATGGTGGGATATTTATAACTTTGGGAATTGCATGATCAATAAATATGGAGAAGTTCAAGGGCAAGTTTGGGGTGTTTCCAATAGACGGCCGATATAAACTTTCTTAATCATGAACCTTTTATCAAATATTTGAATTTCTTAATGATGTCAGAATTCAACAATCTTAGACTCGTTGGACTCCTCCCGTCGAGCCACTCAATTTGCTATAAGCATGTCACATTTTGTAATAATTTGGTCATCCAATTTATAGTTTAAACCTTCTAAATATGCTTCAGGTCCTCGATTTCGACCCATTTGAGCTCATAATGAGTCAAATTTAGTGTCGTTAGATTCGTTTTTTCAAGACATTCAGTTTGACTACAAGTTTACTAAAATCAGAATTAGAATGATCTGAATTTAATTTTGAAAAATTTCAACTCAAAATTGCCTCGAGATACGCGTCTGATCAAGATAAATTTTTGATGATATATCATTATTATTATTTAATCATAATCTATTACATCAGGCCGGAGTTTAAGTCCATACGGTTTTGAAAATCACTAGTTATAGCAATTATTTAACTTCCATTGAATCTCCCTTCTATGATCAATCTCAATTGGAGCATTCAAGCATGACAAACTACTTTAATATCGAAAGAGAATAAGAAGTCTTCACTATGCTTCGAGGGAAGAGCGGTTGACCAAAATCATCAATTTTAATTATTATTTTAGTGGTTAAGATAAGTATGATTAGATATCATTTATAAGCCAATTTTAAAATTTAATATCAAAATTGTGAATTTTATGAAAAGCATTGTCGATAATTTTTATATTTATTTTCAAGTGATTTGAAAGAGTCTAAACTTCAACATTAGAATTATTTTCTAATGTAATTAGCATCTTAAATACATATGATTCATGAAAAAAAAATATTATTTAAAATATTGAAATTGTGCATAAAATTAGCTTTAATTGCATTAAAAATAATGTAAGATGTCGATCATGAATTTAAATATCATAATATTTGTTGAATCTAAATTTGTCATATCAACCTGGTGAGCTAGAATCTATGAGCAAGAATGGAGAGTGTAGATGAAGTAGAACGAATAGAAGAACACAGAAGAAAAAAAATTAGAGATCTCAAAATGTCATAATATCTACTATTAGAGAAAAATTCATGGTCCAAGGGTCCATGATCATGGGTCCATAGTTGAGAGACGGAAGTCCTCCCATTGTTCCTCATCCCTTCTTGTTTATAGGATTTTGAAGGCTACCAGAAAAGTTATATAGATAAAAAGTAAAGCAGAAATACAAGCTCACAAAATACTCATACAATGTTATAGATTGATCTAACATATGCCGCCTCCTAATAAGATCGAGGAGAATGAAGTCAATGTGAAACCCTTTAAGTAAAAAAAAATTAAACTCTTAAACATTGAGGCGTTTTTTGGCGTAATGGTTAAAATTTCATTAAGAAACTCCACAGTTAAGCGTGCTCATCCCGAAGAAATTCAGAGATGAGTGACCTACTGGGAAGTTACACCAACAAGACAAAATTATGAAACTTTTAGGCCAAATGTGGCAATAAAAAGAGTTGGGTGTAACGTCATAAGATCCAACACACATATAGAAAAAGAGTTGGGTGTAGCGTCATAAGAGATATTAATGTTTTTATGTGGAAACCCTTGATAATGGGATGTCCAGTTAAAATGAATACACTAGTGTTTGCAGTCGATTACAAATGAGGCCCTTCCGTGGGGGGAAGTGTAATATCAAAAATCTGCTCCAGGATCGTCCAGGACGATCTGGATCGTCCTGGGACGATTCGCTCGAAGAAGAATTCCTTCGCCTCGTTGCTGTTCGGCTTCATTTCTTCGCAGGAGCTGTAAGATTGCACGAGAGGCTCTTCGGCTACTTCGTTCTTGTTCGACTTCGCTCCTTCGACGACGTTCCCTTTACCTGTCGGATCGGATGTTGACAGGAGCTCGCAAGTTCTGAAGGTAACTTTATCCCTTTCGAGCGCTTCTTCGGCCATGGCATTGATCTTCTCCGGATTCCAGAAGCCTAAATACACGGAGCTTAGCATAAAGAGTGAGTGATAGAAATAGAAGAAAGGGCTGCACTTGACGTACCCTTCCGAGATTGAAGCCGGAGCGAGGACTTCGACGGAGGAGAATACCGGCGAGGGAACCTGCAAAAGGGTTAAGAATAGAGAACAAAACCAATAGAACAGTAATGGAGTAATTTCGGTAGTATATTTCTTCTGCCTCTATCACCAATACTTTGGCATCATATAGTCTATTTTCCTTTGGCTAATTTCTTACCTATTCTAAATAAGGAAAAAGGGAAATGTGAGAACGTTCACTAACAGAAAGTAAAAACAGAAAGTATAAAAATACTGTAGTAGTGGAGAGTGTGTTGGCGTGCGGTGTCTTGCGGAGTAGGATAGTCCCATCAGTCCTCCCCGCCTTCAGAGGAGGTGCTCCTGGCCGATGTTAAGGTAGTATCGGCGTCATCTGGAGGATGATATTCATGAATATCTGCTACATTAAAAGTGGAAGAAGTTTGAATGTGGGCAGGTAAATCGATAACATAAGCATTATCGTTAATCTTTCGTAAGATTGAAAAGGGTTCGATCTTCCGAGGGCTCAGTTTAGAGTATGTTCCGGTAGGAAAACGTTCACGCCGCATTCGGAGCATGACCAAGTCTCCCGGACTGAAAACTTTATGCCGCCTGTGTGCATCCGCTAACTCCTTATACTTGGCATTTGACTAATTGATCTTGGTGTGAACTTGCTCGACAATATTCTGGAACTGCTGAGCCGATTGGGCAGCGACCGTACTGCGGCATTTGGGAATAACAACAATGTCAACTAATTGATTCGGCATTTTGGTGTAGACTATACTGAAAGGGCTGTTTCCCGTGGACCGGTTTGGCATCGAATTGAAGGCAAATTCGGCTTGACTTAGCATCTCCTCCCACTTCTTGGGGTGATCTTGCACAAGGCACCGCAACATGCTTCCTAATGTGCGGTTGACAACTTCGGTCTGGCCGTCAGTTTGGGGATGATATGCGGAGCTAAGCTTGAGATCGGTCTGTAATCGCTTCCATAACTCGCGCCAGAAATGACTAACAAATTTAACATCACGATCGGACGTAATGCTCCTGGGAAGCCCATGCAAGCGAATGATCTCCTTGAAAAATAATCTTGCTATATGAATGGCGTCAAAGGTTTTTTTACATGGAATAAAATGCGCAATTTTGGAGAACCTGTCGACAACTACCATAATAGAATCTGCCCCATTCCGGGTCCTTGGTAATCCGAGAACAAAGTCGACGCTAAGATCCTCCCATATGGAATCAGGTGTAGGCAACGGCATATACAGCCCTGTATTCTGCGCGGTGCCCTTGTACTGTTGGCAAACAGAACATTTCTCCACGAACCGTGTGACATCCCGCGCAAGCCGAGGCCAAAAGAATCGCACCTGTAATTGTGCCAATGTCTTCTGCTGTCCGAGATGGGCGTCCAAGCCACCGCAATGAGCTTCTTTAATAAGCTGAGGTCGCCAAGAAGAATTGGGAATGCACAAACAATTAGCCTTAAATAAAAATCCATGTCTCAGGCTATAGTCACTGTTGGGTATCCCATCCATGCATTGCCTCCAAAAAACTGAGAAATCTTCATCAGTTTCATAGAAGTTTTTCATCTCCTGCAGCCCCGTAATCTCGGTTTGCAAACTAATGAGCATTGCAGCTCTTCGACTAAGGGCGTCGGCGA